GATGAGGGAAAGGGGAAAAAATTTTATATTTTCTGTTTTAAACGGAAGTTAAAAATTAAATTAACTTCATCCGGGGGAAGAGATTCGATTTCTTCGTCATTAGTTATTTTTTTTTTTACTTTTACTTTTTTTTAAAATGAAACATAATTAGTTTTAATTTTTTTTCTTTTTTTAATTTCTTATAAATATTGAAATTTATTTTTACTGTCACAATTGGAATTTTGTTATGTACATAACATCCATTTATGGAAAAGTTTTTTTTTTTTTTTTCATTTTTCTTTCATTTCAAATAAAATTATGACATTTTTAATAAATTTAATTAGTTGGATTGTGAAAAAAAATTTTTTTCTCACAAAAAACACAATAACAAAAAAAAAAATTTTCTTTTCTTTTCTTTTTTTTTGAATTCAAATAAATTATTATTATTATTATTATTTGAGATTGGGTCAGTTCTCATAGCATAATTAAAAAAAAAAAAGCAGAAAGACATATTTACAATTATTTACTTTTAATTCCATTCAAAAAATTTTTATTAAAATGAATAAAATTTATGTACAAAATATTTTTTTAAATAATTGATTACGTATGAGCTCATGCTCTAATAAAATATTAATAATAATAATAATGATGATTTACTTACGTTTTTAATGATAACAATTATTATTATTATTATTATATAAAATCAAAAACGATTCGAGGAATTATTTTCCATTTTCAATTTTTTTATTTTTAACGAAATATAAAAAAAAAATAATAATAATAAATTAATTAATAAACAAAACACACAAAAAAATAATAAATAAATAAATTAATTTATTTATTTATTTACGCGTTTACTGATAATAATGATAAAAAAAAATAAAAATATCAGGTGGTCGTTTTTTTAATCCGGTTTTCGTGGTTTGGCGGTCACTGTAAGACTGAAATAGACAACAATCTAGTCAGGCACGGGGCTATTGGAAAGCGGTCGCGTGGGAGAAAAAAAAAAAAAAAATCTCGAGATACCTACCGACTGATTTTTTTTTTTTTATTAAAAACCGTAATCGTATATATCGTACCTTGGTACATATTATATACGTTTCGTCCCTGAATGAGTCTTTCTTCGTCCCCTTCTCTTTCGTACGCATACCCTCGTACCTTAAAAAAATTTTTCTTAAGGTTTCACACGGGAAATTAATATTATTTTGGGATTTATTTGGGCGTGGACCGTAAATAATAAACAAAAAAAAGAAAATTTTTTTATTTTATTTTATTAATATTTAGGTTTATCTAAATTTATCCATGATAAATATCTTTTCTTTTTAAAAATGTAGAAGAAAATCTGTACGTGCGTGCGTGTGTGCGTGCGTGCGTGCGTGCGTGCTTGCATCTGACTTTGGAGCTGGATTTTTTTTTTTTTTTAAATTCACTTGTTCGGTTTGATTTTTTTTTTTTTTGTGAAAGTTTTTTTTTTTTTTTAAATTTTAGTCGAATTTTTCACGGTTTTCATTTACTCTCTCTCTCTCTCTCTCTCTCTCTCTCTCTCTCTCTCTTTCTCCTTCGCCATTTTGTTTTTTTTTGGAATAACATTTACGTTTATCCTTTTTTTGTTATTTTCTCCAAAATGTTTTATTGCATTCATCCCACTTTGTTGTGTTCAGTATTCATTTTAAATCCATTTTTAATCAACGTCGAATAAAAAAAATCGACCAATCGATCGATCGATTTATCGATGAATGAATCGATTTGAAAAGAATTAAACGTTTATTTAATTGAATTTTTAAATTAAAATTATTTCGTTTATTAAATAAATAATTAAATATAAAAAAAAACTATGATGGTGATGATGATAATGATGATGAAAAAGTCGTTTACTTTATTAATTAAACATAAATTAACACCTTTTAATTCTTTTGTGTAACCTGTGACCTTTTACGCTCATTATGTAAAAAACCGTAAATCAATTTAACTCGACTTTAAAAACTTATTTAGAGTATTAAAAAAAAAAAATAATAATAAATAACTTTTCATTATCATTATTATTATTATTATTATTAAGCGTTAATACGAGTTAAATTGATTTACAATCGTTTTCGTATCGAACGCTGCAATAGGTCAGAGGTCACAAAAAAAAAAAAAAAAAAACTTGAGGTGTTAATTTATGTGGATCAAATTAAAACAAAACATTTTCATTGTTTTTCCTTTTTGATTTTGGAACTTTTCTCTTTTTTATTGTTTAATTAATAATATAATAAGACAGAGAGGGGGAGAGAGAGAGAGAGAATGAGAGAGAAAGATGCACATTTGATAGCATTATCATAAATTTTAAATTATGCATAAAAAAAAACAACAACGTTATTAAATAGTAAGGTAGTTATTTGTAATTTTTTTTTTTTTTAAACTTCAATTTATCTCGTATTTAAATTAATAATAATAATAATAATAATAATAATAATAATAATTTTATCTAACGGTCATTTTAACGAAAGACCTGATTTTTTTTATCTAAAAATCTGTCTGTTCTGCAAAACTTCCGGTAGATAATGCCATGAAGATATCGAGGAACAATATTAACATTCAACCTCTTTTTTTTTTGTTTTCACCTGAAATTTCTCTCTCTCTCTCTTTCGTTATTATTATTTTTTTTTTTTTCTTTTAATTTTGAAAAATTTCTCTTTTTTATTTTTTTTTTAGTTAAAAAAATTTATTATTAAAAATAAAAATAAAAAATAAATTTAATAAAATACAAGGTAGTTGTAATAAAAAAAAATTAGTTATGATAATAATAATAATAATAATGACAAAGATAAATGTAACGGGGCAAGTATAAATCGTCTGTCTTTAAGCTCATTATCATCATCATTATCATCACCATCTCTTCCTCCTCCTCCTCCTCCTTCTTTCATTTTCTTTTTAAAACGAAAACGTTTTTTAATGCTCTCTCTCTCTCTCTCTCTCTCTAGTATATTTATTAGAAAACTAAACGTTTGACTCGTATTAATATCTTTTATTATTATTATCATTATCATGGATTCAAATTTGTTTTTAACGTTATTAATTATCAATACTTGAATGAATGAATTATTAATTAATTAATTAATTAATTAATCATATTACGCTGAACGTGGCGGTAGATTTATTTCTTCACCTTTCATATTACTTAATTTATTTAATTTTCATTTTTTTTGTTTTAACAAAGAGAGAATGTTTTGGGTTACTGACATGGCGGTAACATAACATAACGACAACATAGTCAAACGAGTAGCGAGTAGCGAGTAGTAAAAAAAACTTAAATTAAAAATTAAGACGTTTTTAATTAAATTAAGTAACATGCGTGCAATCTTGTGTCATTCTCAAAAAAAAAAAACTTTTTCTGTTCTCCCTTTCATTTTTTTTTCTTTTTAAAAAATACATTATTAAAATTGTTAAAAATAAATAAATAACCGAACGAAAACTCTTCCGTTTTCCTTCTCTCTCTCTCTCTCTCTCTCTTTCTTTCTTTCTCTCTCTTAATGTACCCCTATGTATTTATTAGCCTTGAACATAATCTATAAATTTTTTTTTTTTCAGTATAAAACACAATAAAAGATTCGATTTAATTATTATATTGAAATGTTTAACCCCCCCACCCTGCCTCCCGGATGTTGAGGATTTCAGTAGACAACCTTACACGTGACCTCGGTTGACATAATTTTGTTAGGCACACACGCACACACATGCAAAATATATATATTATAAAAAATGGTAGTATTTTTCATAGTCAGCAGGTCAGGGCTCTTTTTGGTTTTCTTTTATGATTTCCCATAAGAGCGATTCTCGATTTAAACCGGAAGTAGTAAGTCGTTCGTTTCTTTTCCCCTTTTTCCATCTCCAAAATTTTTTTTCGTCTTTAAATTCTATTAAAAAATGTTTTTTTTTTTTTAAATTTATGTTTTGGAATAATGTTGTGTTTAGGTGGATGCAAAAACTTTAAACGGTCGGATGTGATTCTCTTAAAGAATATAAAACGTTTTTACCTTGAGTGTCAGCCACATCGTCATTCTTACAATTAAGTAAAAGTATAAGGACGACGTTCATTAGAACAATAATAAATGGGGGAGGGGAGGGGAGGGGAAGGGGGAAAGGAAAAGGAAAAGGAAAAAAAAAGTGTACTTAAGTACACGCAGACAACATTAATTATATGATTTTGAAAAAAGAGAAGTCACTTTTATTATCATCATTATCATTATTATTATTATTTATTACTACACTTGAAAGTTGTTTTGTTATTTGTTTTCATTACTTTTAAGTATAATTTTTTTTTTTTTGTTTTTAGTTATTGATTTTTCCATTTTTTTTTTTAAAAAAAAATTGGAATTTAATTGGTTGTATTTAGTTGATTGCGTTCTTGAGTAATTTTTTACTACCCGAACGGTATTCATCCATTGATCATGTTTTTTTCTCTTTCTTTTTTTTCCCTTTTATTTTTAACTATAATTTTTCAATTTTTGTAATTTTTCACAACCGATCATCTTTTTGATTTTTCCACTCTGCCTGCCACACCTTTTTTTTTTTTTTTGCAAAAAAAATTTATGACATTTTTTTTAGAATTATTTGTGTGCGTAACACATGCTTAAATTACGACACGTAATTTTTTAGAGTAGATGTCATACATTTTTTTTTTGTTGCTAGATTTTTATAATCAATTTTTTTTTTTTGTTGTTAGATCATGATCACAAAAATTTTAGTGTATTATATAATGAAAGAGAAAAATATTTTGTTTGACTACGCTCTGATTATCGAACTTCGGCCGACGATTATTAAATTCGAACAAAAAAAAAAATTATTCATTTAGTTTGTTATGGTCATGGTTATGATTTTATTCGTCTTCTTGCATAAAACACCCTCTCGCTCGCTCGCTCGCTCGCTCTCTTCTTTCTCTTTTTTTTTTTTTTTTATTTTTATTTTCCAGCAAATGTGCAACAAAACACTGAATTGAAAATTGAGAGAAAATTTTCTTTTTTTTTTTGTTTACATTGCAGAAAATTTAGCACCATCAGAATTAAAAAAAATTCGAAATAAATTAAGAAAACAGAGAGCGAAGGAAGATTTAGAAAGGAAGCAGGCTCAAGAAAAACAAGAAAAAAAAGAACTTCACAATAAGTCTAGACAACAAGTTGCTGTAAGTTCACGGAATTTACTTACCTATTTTAAATCACGTGACATTTACCCAAGAAACTAATAATAGTATTATACCTAACAATAATAATAATGATGAAATGTGTCTCCCTTTTTTTTAGGGTGACGCCGAACCAGATGCTCCCAAACAAGACGAACTCATACCCGAAAGGTTGATACGCGTCGAAGATCCTCTCGAGCAAGCCATAAAATTTTTACAACCCCTTCAAAATTTGGCTTCGGAAAGGATTCAAACTCATTTAATGGCTTTCGAAATATATTATAGAAAAGGTAAATCCCCAAATACACTTAAATATCGAATAATATTAAATCGTTTTAATTTAAAATTATTTAATTGTTTATTATCAGGAAAGGCTTTATTAATGCTTCAATCCATCAGAAGAGCTCACAAAGTAGAACCGGATAATCCTCTTCTTCACACTTGCATAATTAGGTATAAACTGTATTTAGAGAGTCATTCATCAAAATTGGAGGAACCAATTATCACTGTTATTGACGAGGTGGGCACACTCTACTACTCATATATCAGTAATTCTATTAAAAATCATGTCGAAATAAACCTAATTTATTTTATGTAATTTTTATTTGTTCCAGACTATGAAACCCATTTGGAGCAATAAAAATGCCAAAACATTGAATGCTGAATATCTAAATGCTCACAAGCATAAAATAAGGCATACACTTCAAGGGACCAGAATGCTTTACTATTTGGAACCCCAACAGCAAGATCTTGCTATTTCGTTGGCAACTTGTTTGGACGACGAAGTAGAAGAAGTTTCGATAAAGGTTTGTTTCCTATTATTATTATTATTATGCGTGGTAATTTTTAGCATTTAATAATAATCATAATGTTTTCCTTTTTATTTTTTTTTAGAATTGCACTGATGTGTTAGAGGCTCTTAAAAATGGAGATTTCGGTCAGTGTCCGAAAGAAGTTGAAAAATATCGAAGTGCGTGTCAAGTTAAATTTCCATTAGCTTTAGCCTTTATAGACGATTCCACACCGGTTTCTACGTATTCATCATTTAATCACGTGACACTTCCAGGACAAGATAACTGACAAGAGTAAAAAAAAAAAAAAAAAGCTCAAAAAGCAAACAAAAGTACACATTATGTACGTTGGACAGCAGGTACAGGCTGTCTTGTTGTTGGCACATTGTTGACCTTTCATTTTTCCATATTCTGCTTTCCTGTATACAACAACAACAACAACATTCATTTTCCAATCATCATTATCTTTTTTTTTTAATTTCTTCTGCCGTAACTCTATTCATTCCCATTATAACTTTTATTTTATTCTTGTTACACTCGTCTAAACTTTTATCTAGTCCCACTTTTTTTTCCCCCCCTTTTCCGGTTGAAAAACCTTCATCTTCTTCTTCTTAGAGTGAGTTCTCTTAATACTTTATAGATTTTTACTGATGGTGAGGAATGAATTGGCAGATGGTTAAAAACTTTAAAAGAATAAATATGTGTGGAAGAGACACGTTAAACCTACCTCTTTGTTGTTGACTTTGATTTTAGTCGACTTGTAATGTAGGATTTTTTTGAAAAGCTTTTTCAGAATCGGTTTTTTTTCTCTAAAAATGTCCGTGAATCATAATTTTATTATTATTATTTTTTTAATCATTCATCATTTTAAAATAATTTTTCTCAAAAAAAAAAAAAAAAAAAAAAAAAGGTTAAACGAATATAAATAAAGTTTTTAGTATTATAAATAAACATTTTAAAAGTTTAAATAACGGTGTAAATTAATAATAAGAAGCTAGTCAACGACCAGCATCATCATGGTGAAAAGTGGATCCGTAACAAAATCATCGAATTGAATCACCGGTGTTGTTACCACGTCAGTGACCGATGGAAAAGTTTCATATAAAACACAAAAAAACTTTCTCGTCCCCTCATAGTGGAAGGAGATGTTGGAAAACAGGAACTAAGGACACTGTCGATCGGCTCCCTCTTCTGTGTCGGGAGTAAAAGTGCTATCGTGACTAAGACTCAATCGAGAATTAATTAATTAATTAATTAATTATTATTATTTTTTATAAAAAAAGTTAAATTTGACTGGAAACATCAGCAGCAGCAGCAGCAACAACAAACAATTTTTTTTTTTTGTCAAAATTTTTCTTAAATTTTATTCAGAAAAACTTATTTATTTAATTAATCACGTTTTTAAAAAAAGAATTTTTTTTTAAATAAAAATGTTTCTACGTCTTAGTAATGTAGAATTTTTCGAATGTTCTTTTAGAATGTTTTTTTTTTTTTTTTCTAAACATGTCCACGACGTTTAACATTTCGGATTTTAGATATTTAAAAAATGAAAAAATATCTCAAATCCTTGTTGTGTGTGTGAACCAATGTTTGTGTGATGATTGTTTGTGATTCGTCGTCGTTGCTTTACGAACCTATTAAATAATAATAAAAAAATAAATAAACGATTTTTCAATAAATAGACAATTTATTTTATTATTATTATTATTATTAATTGAATTTTTATAAGGTTTTTTGGAAACAATCAATCATAACAAATAAACAGAAAATAATTATTTAAGGTACATAATTTATGATTATATGGAATTGTAACTGTTTTTTCATTTGACCCCAACTGACCCTTTATCGTCTTATTTATGCCGAAAGGGTTCGTTGGTTTTTTGTCTTAAAACCTTCTTGATAAGGGTTTATGGGGTAGTAGACACATTTATATGTGTTTGTTTTGTTCCATCACTAATAATTGTGGAACTCCAGCAAGGTTCGCTCACATTCGAGTGGAAAAAAATTTCCTATGAACTTTTAATCAGTAAGTTGAAATTAAAATTTTTTTAGTAATAATCATGAATAATAAAGTTTTAAATTTCCAGAATCTATACATCCAGGAAGTTATCTCCATACGCCGTTTCCAAAAATTCCTTCATTACAAATTCAAGTCTCCATCACGAGAACTGAAGATAAGAACAAACATTTGATTGTTTAATGAATAAAGTTAAGATTTTTAAAAAATTCTACTCAAGTTAAAATTTTTCCGTTGAATTCGATTTTGTAATAATAATTTATTAATTTTATAATTTTAATCCCGCAGGATTTTGGTAAACCAACGTCCGGGATTTTATCGCACAGACGCGTGATTAGTTAGTGATGTCTCCAAGACTCGCAATTTTCTTGAAAGACAAGATTAAAATTTTTCTTCTTTATTTCTCATTAGAAGGTAAGTGAAAATATTTATTAATTTAAAAAAAAAGTAACGATCGGGAAAAATGTTTTTGGGGGTAGGAAAAGGATAAGTGGCGACACCCACAGACCTTCCACATGTAGTTTAATCTCCTCTTCTCTGTGCGCGTTTAAGTTGAGCGGCCAGCTCTGTTGCCTTCATCCCTCCTCTCAATTTCCCCTCCTATTTAGAATATGTACCCTCCCGTGACAGATACCTAAATCCTAATAGCTTCTATATCAAGGTTTTGGAGGTAAATCTTTTTCGATTAGGTCTGACTGTGAACCATTTTGAACGCGAACAGGCCATCTATGCCTGCTTTCTCATGCGGCCTATTTTACCTTTGCGTGTGCGTGTGATCATAGATATATCTTACCTAACCTTCAAACTAACCGTAAACTCCGAATATCAAACCTAATATATTGTCTAAATTTAATCAACCACATATTCGTCGTCTGCTACCATGGCTTCCTCTCCTTACCACAATTAATGACGATGTTAAATCTTTATAATCAAAATGATAAGCGGTTGGATCATTTATCCTTTTGTTTTTTGAATAATTCCTCGTGAAAAGATATTTATTTGATGTAACTTTGTAGTTTCAAACTTCATTTTGATAAAAAAATCTATTCTTTTTTACTAACAATGACTAAAAAACGCAACAACAACATTATAGTTGACTAAACTAAAAGTTTTACGTTAATCTTTTTCTACAATTCGAATTACAAGACGTAAATCCAATAACGTTTATAAATTTTTTTGTTCGATTATCGAACGATTAATCGATCAATCGAAATTTATTTTAATAATGTAAACAAACGTAAACCGTTACAATTTGAAAACTAGGAAATGGGTGGGTGGGCGGAGAATCGTAGGAGAGGAGGGAGCGGATTTAACGCGAATAGAATAAAAAAAATTTTTTTTTTTTAAAAAAAAGTTTTTACATACATATATTTATATCATATGTGATACAAAATAAAAATATATAAATAATAATGATGATTGTGTAAGAGACTTCCCCCTCCCCACCCCACATTCGACGACGAGATTTTAACGGAAATTTTTTATGCTGAAATAATTTTTATCAAGACTAGTTTTTTTTTATATTAATCACAAAACAAAAAGACACAATAGAAAAAGGCACTCATAATTTTATATAAAATATTAAGTACACTTTTCTTTTTAACTTGAATCGAAACACAAAATAAAAAACATATTTTTGATAAATTAATTAAAAATCTAACATAAAAAAATATTAATTAATTATTTATAACAAAAATTTTGTGTGCATGTCTTGATTACGGTTAGGAAAAAATTTTTTTTTTTTTCGCATTTCAATTCAAATTAACAAATTTTTATTTATTTCGTGTGCTGCTGTGATAATTTATTAACAATTTTTTATATAAACAAATAAATATATATATTTAATTAATTATGTACATAAATCAATAAACAAACAAACAAAAGAACAAAAAAAAAAAAATTGCATTTGGGAAAACGACGATTATGGGAAGTTAATAAAAAATTTGTTCATATTTAAATATCAAAAATATATATATATAACAACAATATTAATTTGTTTTCAATTTAATTCGAATTTTTTTTTTATAACAAGAATAAAATATAAACAAAAAAAATTTTCGTTATAAAATTAAAATAATAATAATAATAATAACGATAACGATAACACGTAATGATAACATTTAAAGGTACGTCGGTTGTTGGTTGTTGGTTGATTGGACAGCAGGTACAGGTTGATTATTTAGTTGGCACTTTGTTGAGCTCTCCTTTCCCATTCTGCTTTCCTCTGTTGAATCCTTTTAAAACCTGTACTACAACAATCATTTTCATCATCATTATCTTTTTTCATTTCTTCTCCCTTTCCTCTATTCGTACCGATGATGACTTCCATTTTATTCATAATCCTGTTCATTTTATTCTCGTTTAATTCGTCTGCTAAACTTTTATCTAATCCCATTTTTTTAACGTTGTTTTCCGATAAACTCCTTCCGTATTTTTGTATTACGTTTTTCCGGCTTTGAATTTCCGGTTTGAGAGATGTTATGTTAACTTTGACTTCGCATCCAATTTTATTATTTCCTTTCGAAATTTCTTCATCGCGTTTTACATCTTCCCCCGACTTTTTTCGTTCGTCCGAAAACCCCTTTTTACCATCTCCTTCTTTCGATTGTTCGAGGATTTCATTTTCTTTGTCGCTGTCCCTGGATTTTTGACCATCGTCCACCGCCTTTTCGTATTCTCGCACCTTTAATGATCTCCTAGCGAATACTTTCATCAATTCCGGTTGTTCTCCCGATCTATCGGTTATACTTTTTTTTCTTAAAACCGCCGGCGTTTCCTCGGCTTGTGGCTGGTGCGGGCTCTCTATTTTTTTTTGATAATGATGTTCTTTTAATTCAAAATCCGCGGAAACCGGTACGTGATGACCGGATGTTGCGGATTCTTTTTTAAACGATTTCGTTTCCGTATTTCCGTCTTTGTCTGCGGATTCTGTAAACGACATCAATTCGGATTTTCTTCTTTCGATTAATTTAATCCGAGATTTCGAATCGATGACGTCACTTTTAACATTTGAATCCTCGGTTGGAGGTTTAGATTCAATATTAATGGAACTGCTTTTAACGAATCCCGATTTTCCAAGTCTTATCAAATCTTTCGGTTTTTCCGAAACGGCAGGTTTGACTCTTTTCGTAACTTCCGGTGGTCGTACCGGTTCAATTTTTAACACTTCTTCCGTCGTTTCTTTTTTCTGCGTCGAAACGTCGTTTTTCTCGTCCGTTTTTTCTTCGATAATTTTTTCATCTGATTTTATAGGATTTATATTCAAAATGTTTTCTTTTTCTTTGTTCGTTTCTTCTGTTGTATTTTTCCCACATAAATTATCCGTATTCTCTTTCACAACATCTAAAACATCAATGTCGGCAGCCTCTTCTTGTTTCACTAGTTCAACTATTTGAACTAAATTTTCATAACCCAACTCGTGTACGTTATTTGTTATTTCGGGGGATTCAGTCGTCGGTTTAATGTCGTCATCGAAATTTACGGGAATAGTCAAAGATTCGCAATTCGAGATATCGACGACGGATTCCAGTGGATTTGATTTTTCATCAATTTCCTCTTCCTTTTGTTCTCTACTCGTGCCACTTATGATTATATCATTTTCCGAATGTTGTCTTTTTGCCTTCAAATAATTTACTCCTTCTTCTTCATCTCCCTCTTCTTCTTCTTCTTTATTTTCTTCGAAAATTTTCCGCTTACCGTAATCGTCTTTTGCGTGCAAATTCACAGAATCCGTTAATTCTTTTATAAATGAAGGATTAACGACGTTGATAAATTTATTATTATCCGGATACGAAATTTCATCAAAATCTGATGAAATTTTATTGTCGTCCATTAAAGAATTATAATTATTTTCTGACCCGGGAGTAGAAACTAATAATGGATTATTGTCACTAATCAGATTAGGCCAAAATTGATTTTTCGGGGATGCGGATGAATGAGGAGGAACTCTTTTATCGACAAAATCCTGATCACAACTTTTACTCGGTGATGGACTCGATGGTATTTCCATCGGTTCAATTCTTTGGCGATGATTTGGACTTTTCCCTCTTTTGGATAATTTTTTAACAATCGCGTTTGATTTCTCTGTCGTTTCCCCGTCTTCGACGTTACATTCATTATTATTATTATTATTATTATTATTATTATTATTTTTCTTCTTTTTTTCACTTCTCCTCGATAAAAATCTTCCGAAAAAAGATTCAGTTTTTTGATTTAAACCTTCATCTTCTTTGGCTTTTGATTCTCCACCTCCACCTCCTCCTCCTCCTTCTTCTTCATCGAGTGAAACCTCCTGATGTTTATCGTTTTTAACTGTTACGGAATGAATTGGCAGATCGTTGAAAACATCAGATGAATAAATTTGTGTGGAAGACACGTTAAACCCGCTGCCGCCGCTAACCTCTTCGTTCACTTCGATTGTAGTCGGCAAAGGCGATTTTGAAATCTATAAAAATATGAGAAGAAAATGATAATAAGTGAAATGGAAAATTTTTTTCAGAATCGGTAATAATTTTCCTCAAACAAGAAAAAAGAAAAAGGTTAAAGAAATTTTAGCATTAAATAAACATTTAACGATTCAATGTTTAAATAACGGTAGGTGGGTAAAATTATAAGAAGGTAGTAGTCAGTCAACGACCATCATCATCATCATCATCATCATTATGGTGAAAAGTGGATCCGTAACGAAATCATCGAATTGAATCCCCCCGGTGTTGTTACCACGTGAGTGATCGCAACCTAAGAAAAACGAATTTATAATTTATTTTTATTACTTACCACTGCTCTTCGTCTACTTCTGGGAGCCCCATGATTCCTCTTAGGCTTCACAGCCATTTTATGTTTAGCAGCATTGTGGCTCAATTTATAAGCAGTCACTCCTAAATCCAAATCTGACATTTTTTTACTTTTAACAGGACTGAATTCTGTTTCGGAACTTCCTATACTTAAAAGTGAAGACTCGCTACAAGAACTCTGAGATTTCATCGTGAATTCCTAAGGAGAAAAAATAACAAGGACGGTTTGTAAATGTATACGTTTTCTCAAGACCAAGGTCGAGCGTCACATAAACGACCTAAATCTAAAGATCATGCAACGCTTTCATAAAAAAAAAAAAAAACTTTCTCGTACTCACCGTGGAAGGAGTTGTTAGCACGGTTATAGAAAGTGAGGAATTTCCCAAATCCGATGAACTAAGGCCACTGTCGGCTCTGTCGGGTGTAAATATGCTATCATGACTAAGACTCAATCCAGGATTAAGCCGATTATTTTTTATAAAATTTTGTGACTGCAATCAACAACAACAACAACAAACATTTTTTTAATTGCAATTCTAAAGGGAACATAAAATTAATTTTTTTTCTTTTTGCCTTACAGAATTTTCCTCTTGTAATTTACTAGTCGAACAACTTCTCTGTTCCAAATTCGTCGACGGAATTTCTGAATTATTTGGGGAGGCCGTCTGATAAGAGTCAGCAGCAGACACACTCGACCGTCTGGGTTTACGACGAAATATTTTCCGAAGATTTCTCAAAGGATGAAATTTTTTTTTTTTCGTTTCTGTCAAAGGTAAGGAAAAAAAAAAAAATTATTTATTTATTTTTAGGTCATTAAATAAATTTTTACGCAATAGAAAATTGCAAAAAAAAAAAAAACTATTTTTTTTTTTTTTTTAATTAACATTTTAATAAACATAATTTTATTCGTAAAAAAAAAAAAAAACGAGAGAGAAAGGGGGTGGAAAGGGAAGAGGGAGAGGGGAAATTTTAAAAGGACGAAAATTGAAAATGTCAGGTAGTTTTTTTTATATAATATTTTAAATATTAATTATTCAAACGCGTGGGTATTTTTGAATTTAAAAAAAAGTAAAAGAGCAAAAGTTGTTAATTGCATAACATCCTTTGAGAGACCCTGATATACTACTACCACTATACTAATAAGACTGACCAAACGAAAATGAAACTTTTTAATAATAATAATAATAATAATAATAATAATAACTCGTGGAAAAGAAAGAAAGAAACATTATTATAATTTATTTTTTAAATAAATGTTTAAATTACTCGCGGAGAGATGTTCCAAGACCATTCCATGTGATAACGGTTAAAACAAAAAAAAAAATTTTTTTTTTTTTAACAAAACATTATAAAGAAAGAAAGAATAACATTTATTATTATTATTATTATTATTTCATTACAGTGTAATCGGTGACATTGAAACCACACACACATTTAAAACGTGACATTAGACGGTTAAAGTTAACTCTCAAAAGTAATTTTCTCAGCAATTCGGTCGACAAATTCATTATTATTATTATTATTATTATTATTAGTATTATTAGTCAAACGAAAGAATTATTAATAATATTTTTATAAAAAATATTAATAAAAACTTCCATTGCTTGTAATTTTCATAGCACGGAACGAAAAACAATTTTTATTTTAATCAGAGTGAAAAAAAAAAAATTATTGAATTAATAAATAATAAAATAAATACTTAATAATAATAATAACAACAAGAGCGAATTAATTAAAAAAAAAAATTTTAAATAAATTAACGTATTTCCCCCTCCCTCCCCTCTCAAATCCCTTCATGGCTTCCCTTCTAACTTCATCGTTCCCAATTTTCAGTTAAATTTCCCTTCATCCCCCCACCACCACTACTAGCCGTACGACAAGTACTTTAAAATTTATTAAATAGGTAGCTTATTGTAAATAAAAACTTTCATTTTTGTCATATTTTTTATAATTACTGAATTATTATTATTATTATGTATGTATGTATTTCCTATATTAATATTAAAAGTTAAATCCATTCGACGTTGTTTGATGTTAACTTCCTGTTTACCCCACTAACACACACACACACACAACTCATTTTATCAGCGAATGATAAAAATAAAAATTTTTTGAAAACAGGAAACGGAAATAAATGAATTGATGTACAATTTTCGATCGGGAAAACATTTTTTTTTCAAACTATGACGTAATAATTATATTTCGACGATGGAATTTTAAATATTCATAATAATAATAAAAAAAATTAATAAAATTGAACGTGTAAATAGATTTTTCTTTTTTTTGCTAAATGACAATAATAATAATAATAATAATAATAAGTGGTGTGTGGTGACATTTCAAGAGTATATGTGTAACCGACTTTCGTAACGACTAAAATTTAGGTTCGTGTTTTAGTTATTTTATTTTAGTTATTTAGTATTTAAATTTTATTTTTACCTGTTTTAATTTCGATCGTTTGTGTGAAATCATTTTCATCCAAAGGCAAAGATTCTCTTCCTGAGGTGCAACTTATAAAGCTGAAGGCTCCACTTTGAAACGAGTGCGGTGTCTGCGTCATAACAACTTTATTACCATTCATTTTCTTTTTTTCCTACAAAAACAAAACAAAAATAAAAGAATTAAATTATATAATAATAATAATAATAGTTATTATTATTCCTACGATTATTATGCATTACAATAAAACATGATGAAGAAGAATGTTTGGATATATCACCCCGATTTCAATTTACGACAGACAGTCGATTTAAAAATAATAATAATATTTTTTTTTAATAGTTCAATTAGAATTGTGACGGCAAGGAAACTAAATTTACTTATCGAAAATAAAATAAAAATTACGGAAACTTATGAAAAAAAATGTCTACGCCTGCCAAACAAAAAAAAAAAAAAAAAAAAAAAAAAAATTCATTGCCGTAACGTGAAACAAACGTTGTTTTTATTATTATTTTTTTCATATAATTATATTTAGATTTTTATTTCAGAGACTTTGTACATTTCCTATACGAAAAGTAAGAAGAAAAAAAAAAAAAATGGCGAAAAGTGATTGCTTTGACATGGGATTTGACGCTCTCAATCTGACAAAATTTCAATTTTTAATTTATTTTTTTTCAAGGGTAACAACTACTACTACTACCTATAAGATCTTTGAATGAAAAACAGGTCTATTTTTTTTTTTTGTACAGGGAGTGTCTATTATATCGCCCAGAATTTTTTTTTTTTACAATTTTAACCCTCAGAATTTTTATAATTAATCCGAGAGAATCCCTACAGATTTAAAATGTATTATTAACAAAAAAAAAAAAATACAAACAACCGGAAATTAAGATTGCTTTAAATACGCACAGCAATTCTATTAAGCAATTGAAAAATTTTTAAAAAGGAAAAAATTATGCAATTATGCCTTGATTGTGCCAAATTCAGAAATGCTTTAAGCAATAAATACTAATAGACAAATTATATTTGCGTTATACCTGACCAACAACCTTCTTTATCAAACAAAAAATGTTTTTTTTGTTAAATTAATTAATTGACTTTGACGTGTATGTCATACATAAAAACTCAATAGTTATTTTCAAATTTTCACTGAATTACAGGGAAAATTTTTTGTTTTTTCCAAACTATTTCAATTTTATCGAACACAAAAATAAACTGAATAGTTTGAAATCGCGTATTTAAAAAAAAAAAAAGAAGAAAATTATTCACGTAAATGATTTTATAACATTTTATGTTCTTTTATTAAATAATAAAATATCAATTTAGTGTTTATACAACAACAATAATAATAATAATAAGAAAAAGTAGCGGGAGATTAGGTTGGTTTCGTAATTACCGATAATAATAATAATACGATTGGTAAAATAATGATTGATTTGCAAATATTTACAGATAGAAACTACAAGAATCAATATTAGAAATAACCACAGGTATCAACTTCAATAATGATATTTAAAAAATAGAAACCGAGATAGAAACTACAGAAGCTCAGAATTAAGAAATTTGAACGCTTCATTTAATTCAAGACAATTTAAAAAAAAAAAACACGTGAGTTCATATGTGTCGTCTGCGTAAGATTTACTAGTCTGTAAGTATTGTTCATTTCCGGATCTCTAACATTGGAAAAATATAAATTAAAAAAAAAAAAATACCTGAGGTGGAAACTTTATCGAAAAGATAAGTAAAAATTAGAGTAATCACGTCTTGACAAAGTAGTACTCACAATGGAGGATTACTCAATATTATTAAAAGCCTAATAAAAACAAACCAGGTTGTATGAAGGCATCATCAACCAATGAACCGATCATTATGATAAGACAACGTGAAAAAAAAAAAAAAAAATTGTTTAAAATGACGGGTCTATGTTCCTAGTACAGCAACGGTGAAAGAACCAGAAAATGTTTTTTTTTTTTAAATTCATGAATTTAGAAATCGAAGTTGACGAAATGTGAAGCATGAAAACGGAAACGATTTCTATCGTATAATAGGAGTGATTTTAAAAAACCAATAAAATGATGGGAAAAAAAAAATAAATTAACAATATACAGGAAATTGTATTATTTGCTCACATTCAGAGGGACATTGTAAAAACCACTCATGGAATTTAACACATATTCCTAATAGGGTCAGGGACTCAATTGGAATATCAATATTGTATTAAAACGAATCGTATCAACAGGTACATACATCATAAAACATAAAAGGAAATATTTAAGCTCGACCTGGATCGATTTTTCCAAATTAATCATTGATGCCAACCTTTGAATGATCGACAAACCGAAGACGAACAACTTTTATAACAAATGAATCCATTACAAATATACATCTTAAGAGAAAACATCAATGAAGAGATGAATTCATCAAAAAGGTAATAATAATAATAATATTTTTTTTTTTTTTTTTACTCTAAAACGACATAAAATAATTAACACAATCAAAATTTATATAAAATAATATAAATAATCTTTTCTTCTTTTTTTTAACGATTTAAAATTTTATATTATGACTTTGCACTTTTTAAAATTATCCGTCGAAAAATTTCAACAAAAAAATAATAATAATAATAATAATTTAATCATGGTGAATAATGTAAATTTAATCATCCTCGTTACAATAATTATTGCTCGATTTGAAATTGATTATGATATGATGACTTTATATTAACTCAAAACAACAATACCCAATTGCGTAATGCAATTTAAAATACCCAGATATTGTTTATTATTATTATTATTATTATTTATAAATATATTTACGCGTGTTATTAATATACACTCTACATTAATTTATCGATTTTTTTTGTTTTAATGAAAGTCTTCAAATAGTACACCTCCATTCAAATATGTTTGTATAACATTTTTTAATTGAAATATTATTATTATTATTAAAAAATTACAAATATAGAAAGGTACGTTATAAATTAAAAAATAATAATGATATAAATAATAAAATATTCTTGGGGAAAAATTATTTCTATTTTGAATTTATAATTGTAGCATTGTAAATAGAATTATAAAAAAGAAACTGAAAGAATTGCGCAAGAAAATAAATAAGGTATTATTGAATAGGTAGATAAAATGCATTGTAAAATAATTAAAGAACAAAAAAAAAAAGAAAAAATTCAGGTGAACAACAAGAAAAAAGTAAAAAACGTGTCTTTTCACTTAAATTTAACCATAATAATGAAAAAAATCACGTTTTTACACCATCATCGAATTGCATATACGCACACACACACACACATATATATATAACAATATGAGTATAATTATTGGTACCATTGTTAACTTTAGATTTGTATTTTTTACAAACTTTTTTTATTATAATTATTATTATTCGAAACGCCCATCCTAAATTAGTATATTTTTTTTTTTTTGGTAAATGATTATTTGCGTTGAAAAAAATCATATATAATAAATAATCCCTGAATAATATTATTATTAACTCCTATTTAATGTGACAAAATATTTTATCCTTGAAATTCTTTGAATCGTCGTCTCGTTCTCTCTCTCTCTCTCTCTCTCTCTCTCTCTCTCTCTCTCTCTCCAGAAATATCTTTCCCAGTGTTAATGACACTTAGTAGTAGTTTCTGAACTTTTTTTTTTTTTTTAAATATCCCAAGAAAGTAAAAAACAAACTCGTGAATGAATATAAAAATTTAAAAAAAAAAAACTTTTCCTAGTCGAATAATAAAACGAAATAAAATTTTTCCTCATCGATCTAATCGAAATTTTCCTTTTTTTTCCCACTTCCGGTTTTTTTTATTTTGTTATAATACAAATGTGTATTAAACTTCTTGTAATTAATAGTGACTAGTTAAAACATTATGTATAAACATTAATAATTGATAATAATAATAATAAAATTTATCTGTAGTACAAACAAAATACAATAAATATTATTTAAAAACTAAAGAGATAAACCACACAAAATTTTAATAACAAAATATTTTTTACAAATATTTATTAGTAATTTTTATTAAATCAAAATAAATAATTTATCATTATTTGAATAAAGTTAACAATAAGACGAAGTAAGTAAGTAAGTAAATTTATTAAAAATTGTTTTGTTTAAATAAAAACTGATCAAAAATAATAATAATAATTCCCCATAATGGCGTTTGTTTGTAATGTAATTATTTAAATAGGGGGGATGACCATGGTTACTCACAATATTATGAGATAAATAAAAAAAAATTATATTTATGTTTAATAAAAAAACGAAAACTTAATATAAAAACAAAAAATAATATAAAAAAGTCTGAGTTTATATTTTAATTTAAGGAAATTTAAAAACTATGCAAATTTAATAAAAAAAAAAAATCCTTTAAGATGTAATGAAGAGTCGAAAAACAAGCCATATTTGCATAAATCTTATATAATTTAATATTTTATTAAAAAAAAAAAAAGATTTTCTCTCATTTAAACATTCAACACTCACATATAATAATAATAATAATAACAACAAATCCCCAGAATTGTAATTATATACATAGAATACAATATTTAATTTTTTTTTTTTTTGTCAGAGAGCTTCAATTTCAACGTTTTTAATTTATTAAAAACTAACATAAATAAATTAAAATTAATATAACAATATTGAGGGGGGGAAAAAGAAAATTAATTTTTAAAATCAAAAACTATCAAAAAAAAAACTTGTAGGTAATAATTTTTTTTTTTTTTTTTTTTTAAAGGTTCAAAGAAAAGTCTTACTTTAAAGTTAATAAAAAAAGAGATTTTACCTATTAAGGTAAAAACGTCTTTTCATACAAATTCTATAAATTGTTAATATCGTTCCAACTTTATTGAAAATAATAATAATAATAATAAAATCAAAGAGAATATTATTTATATAATAAATCCCTATTTAAAAATTTATTATCATGGTGGACAAAAACTTACTTATATCCTTTTATGTGTTTTTATTATAAACAAATTTTATTAGGAATTATTATTATTATTATTATTATTATTACTGTGAAAACAAAGTCGATGATTGGTTTTTCTTAAGAAGAAAAAGCTTTTGAATGTTTTTTATCTATACATATATATGCAATTTCTGATGAATTTAAAATTAAATACAATAATAATAATAATAAAAAAAAGATCGATTTGCTAATAAAGCAAAAAAAAAAAAAAAACATTAAAAATAAAATGGTTGTTACAAAGAAGAATTCAGGAAGTAAAACAACCGTTAATTTCGATACTTGAAAAACTAGAAATTTTTTTTTTTTTTTTTTATACAAAATTAAGTAAAATGTTATGTGATATTGTGACACTTAAATTTAATAACAAATAAGTAAAATTACAAAACGTGAAATTGTTTTTCATTTTAATATAAAATAATAAAAAAAAAATTTGGTCATTCTATTTACCTTGTAATACAATTAAAAAAAATTGAAAAGCAATATGGCGTCGGAAACTGCAACAGGTACAAAGTAATCGCAAAACGTATCATATCAAGTAAGCCTCAATTTTTAAATAATAATTTATCGAAATAAGTCAAATAAATAATTCACAAAATATAAAATTATTTAATTTATGTTATATTGAAATTCATCACAACTAAATACACCTTTTTTTTTATGTACACATAATTGTTAAAAATCGAAATTTTTATAAAATACGCTCACGTTTTAACCTCAACATTAAACCATAACCGCTCGACCGCCACGGCTTTACTACTTTCTTTCCTTTAATTCTCTTTGTTTTTTTTTTTACATGTTGCCAAGTTTACTCCTCTTTTATAACATGGATTTCAATGTGACGTAATGTACGTTCGTTCGTTGGTCTAGTCCATAAAAAATTATCAAGCTAAGCAGTCAGGATTTTTTTTTTTTTTTTAAATAATCACAAGATAACCTTTTGGTCGTCATTTTAATTACGTATCAAATTACATTTTAAAAAAACAAAATAATAATAATAATAATATTACTTAAAGAAGTTGAAAAGAATTTTTCCGTCGCTACTGATTAATACCATAACGTACTTTTATATATATATGTGTGTTTAACTAAGGCATGGTTAATAATGGACGCGCGCGCGTAAAAAAAATTAAATTCAGTGAATATAACGACCGTAAAATATATAATAATTAACAATATTTTTAAAAATATTGAGTATGGTTTAAATTTAATCTTTAACAAATCATTTATTAATTGATAAAAATGTTAAAATTGTTATTATATTTTGCGGATGTGGCTTTGAATTATATTTAACGTTTGAAAAAGTATGTGATAAAAATATTGATATAGTACTTAAGATAAAAAAAAAAATTTTTTTCCCCTTTTAAGGTGTAAAATTTTCCTTTATTAATTATTATCGATGAAAAATAATTATTTAAAATTTTTATTATTAAAAGTTTTCGGTTTTTTGTTTGTTTCCCATTCGAGAAACGTTTTGATTTATTGTCTATTGTTTTTACCAATGAAATACAATTGTCGTATGCCGCCATTTTTTTTTTTTCTATCCTTTTTTCGCCAAAATGCCCGCCAAAAGTTTTAGAAACTTTTTTGTCGTATTTATGTTAAATACGCATTAACATAAATTTTTTTGTTACAAAATGTCTGATTCATCCTATTGATTCACATTGATTTGAAAAATTGTTCGGTACGAAAATTATCTAGATTATAACATTATTTTTGTTTTATTTTCTAGTTTCTTTTTTTTCTATTCGTTAATCTTATCTTTTATTTGAATTACAAGCATTTTAGTTTAATAATTTGTATGATTAGCCAAGTGAAAAAATAAATTTTTTTTTTCCACCATGAGTGTTAATATTTTATTTTTTATTTTATTTTTTTTCGTTTCGTTTTATTCGTATGTATTGTTCTAATAACATTTTTATTATTATTAACTTTTGTTATAAAATATTTAATTTTTAAATCATGAGTAATAAATATTTTCCACACGGGGGGAAATTTATATATATATATGAAGAACAATATTTAAGACTTTAGACATTGACAAATGATGTGTAATATTTTGAAAAATTTAATTTAATTAATGATTTAATTGATTTTATTTTTTCAGTGTTCAATGTTATAAATTGACGATTTCAAAATATTTAGAAAATGGTTTCATTTTACCAGAAAATGAAAGGACAACAGTAAATATTGATGGACTTTGTAATGAAAATCCTGAGAATTTAGTTTCAATTAAAATAGATATACCTGGAATTATTTATCAAAGAAAACCAAGTATGTATGAATTATTTACAACAAAAAAAAATTCATTATTTTAATTACTTTTTTTTTAATTTCTAGAATTTTCCGTTTATTTGGCAAACGATGCACAAAATATATTGAAAATATCATTTACAAAGTAAGTATGTATATTTTAATTTTTGCATTTAAATGTATATATATATTTTATTATAATTATTATTATTATTTTCAGGACGGTTAAAATAAGTTTATATAAAAGACCTCACAGATTTGATAAGGATTTATCGACGATAAAATGGTTTTCTCGTATTTATGACGAAACGTCGGCTGCTACATTAACATCACAATTTCCAAATTCATGGTTACCACATAATATAACTAAAATAAGTGCAAGTGTTGAATTTTTAAAACAATCACCACATAATTATTACGGTATTAAAAATTATGAAATAAGTATCAATGATTTGTAAGTATATTTATATTTATATTATTTTAAATTTAATTAAAAAACATCATCATCATCATTATTGATATACATTTTTTTTCTGTTTCAGCATGGTTTTAGATGAATATGCAAATTTTAGATGTCAACAATGGACAAAAACAATTATTTAAAAAAAAAATTTAATTATTGTATATTTTTTTTTAATTAAAATTCTAATGAAAAATTTTATTTACTAACATATTAACGTGTAAAAAAAATTATTATTATTGTTATTAGTAGTACCTGTCGTCGATCCTGAAAAATTCATTGGAAAAAAACAAAAGGTAAATATTTTTTCCATTATTTATTTTTTTTTCAACTTGAATTCGTATTAAATTTAAATTGTGATGTATGATCAGGTGATAGATAGGATTACATTTATTCCACCTCAGATCGAAAAATTTCCCCTCCCCACTCCCCCCCCCCAAAAAATAAAAAAACCCAGAAATTTATTTATAAACTATCATCATGTCATGAAAGAGTCAAAACAATTAAAAAAAAAAAAATGATCATTTATTTATCTAAAAATATAAAACAATACAATAAAATCTAATTAAAAAAATTTTTTTTATTTAAAATTAATATTAAATAAAAACTGCGTCCTCTTTGGAGTTAAGCTATACATTTATAAATTTGGTTTATTATACTCATCCGAACGTAATAATAATAATAATAATAATAATAATAATAATTTATTTATTTAAAATATCAAATTGACCTAAAAAAAACGACAACTAAATGACTATATTATTATTATTATTACCACGATTAATTAATCCTTTTATTTTTTTTTAACAAAAACGACTCACGTTACCTACGTTACTTGTGAGAATAATTTCTAACTAAATTTATTAAGTAATAATTTATTTTATTACCGAAAGATTTTATTATTAAACTCGGAAAATTAATTGATATTATTATTATTATTATTATTAAATTTCAGATTTTAATAAATTTTTTTTTTTTCTCTTTTTTCTCTTGCAGCATCGACTTTTTCTACGGCTTTACATATTTCCATCCAAAGTTTTTTATCTTCGATTTGTATAACGCATTCTTCGTCGATTCGATTTTTCGATTTTTGACTTTTAAATGTTTTTTCCAACGTCACGTTGTTACCTCCAACTACCTCGGATTTGAATGCAAGACGACTTTCGTTACTTCTCTTCGTCATACCTTCTTCTGATTTTCTTCTTCTAAGGTACGATTCCATTTGTAATATTTCTTTTGTTTTATTTTCTCGTCGTTCCATTTCCGTATGACTTTCGCATGATTTACCGCAACTTTCTTTTTTTCTCGACGGCGTTTCCCCGGACTTTTCTTTTAAAAAACGTCGCGGTAATGATTTTGTAAAAAGTTTTTTTTTTTGGGGAGACATCAATTCTTTCGTACGATTTTTTTGCATGAGAGCTTCTAGTAAATGTTGAAAAATATCCGGATCGATTTTTTTACACGAATTTTCTGATTTTTTTATTAATGTTTTAGAATTTGTTTCTCCTCCTCCGATTTTGTTAAAATTCTTTGTTTCTTTCGAATTATCTAAATAAATATTTTTCCTATCCAGAAAATAATTCTTATGGGAAAATGTTGAGTTTTTTGTAAAGGATCCCTGCGAGGAGGAAAAGTTTTGAGTTTTGCTTTTATAATAAGAATCGCAACTGGAAGGTGAACTCATCGATGAATTCTGAACGTTTGATATTTTTGAATGTTTCCATTTTTTTTTTTTTTTATTTTCCCAATGAACGGATGTGGAAATTGATTTTTTAACGTCAAATTCTGGACTTTCGCTTTCCGTTGATTCCGAATCGGAAATCCCGTGATTTTTTTCAGTTAATTTAGAATTTATTGAGGAATTACTGGGATAAGGAGAATTAGGTTCCGTGACCGAGAGCCTGTTCCATTTTGACCTTTGTACCTTTAAGAATCCGTCGGTTAAATGACGTTCGTGATTACTTTCGTATAAGCATTCGTCCGAAACTGATTTAACGACTTTTGAATTTTTATTTATGGATGTTAAATAATAATCCGAATTTCCTTCATCGGTTTTTCGTTTTCTCACCGTCGAGTAGTAACCGATATCGAAGGGATTTTTTTTTCCCGTTTGAATCGAATTTTTTTCCCTCCACGGAAATGGTAAACTTTTTCTTCTTTTCATTTTTTGCATTTTTAAACTTTCGTGAATGCTTTTCTCATTTGTTTCCTTTTTATTATTTTTCTTTTTCACTTTCGTTTTATTTTTTTCCGATTTATACAAATTATCTTTCGATTTATAAATTTGTGATTCGATAGGCTTAAAAACATTTAGGCCGGTTATATCCTGATTAAATTCATTTTGAATTGTTTTCTGATTGCGGCTGGGAAAAAAATCTTCGTCTTCCGATTTGCTCCAAAACGTTTTTGGATGAGTCAAACGGGGATGATTTAGGGTTTTGACATTTTGACCCGTTTCGGAAAAAAATTTATAGTCTGGATTATAAATTTTGTTTACTTCCGATATATTTTCCTTTTTTCTCATGAGTGATTTAAGTTCTATCATAACTTTATCAAAATATTCTGGTTTTCCATTAAATTTTTTATAATTTAAATTAAAAGTTTTCAACGGAACGGAAATATTTTTTAAAGTTTGCTTT